AACTTAATTTGAGTTCCTTACCAGCAACCCAGTAAAACACCTCAACATGAGGCCTTCGTCGCCTTCTCTTGGCTCTCGACTTTCTTCGTGGGCACTGTCGCAGGTAGATCCGACTTCATGGGCTTCATGGCGAAGAAGCGATGGCTGGGTCTGTGAATCTCCTGGTCCCCCCCCCTGTTGATGGGTTTTGGGCTTCGGGTCAAGGGTTTAGGGTTCCAAGTTCGGGTTGTGGTTATGTGTTAATGGGGTATGGCATTAGAGGTTTAGGGACAACAGGCCTTCCGCTGGTTCAGCAGTATTCCCTCACATGTAGCCGGGAAGCGCTAAAGATGTCCCCTCCCCTGTAAAACTCCTCAACCTGACATGGAACCCTCAACAGAGGTTCTTCGTAGACAATTACCGATTAACAAAAGAGGCCTGCATGGGTTCCAGAGTGGGGTTTAGGCTCTTCGGGCTTCCTTAGGGGGTTTTGGGGGCCTGCACAAAGTTCTTTTGAAGATCTGTAGCGGCCAGTACTCGCGGAAGCCGTGTGAGGGGTACAACAGTCGATGCCCCTTGACCCTTTGAGCTCCTGCCGCCTCTTGTAGCACGTTTTGCACAAGCTGACGTCCTCACAGCCTTGGCCAGACTCCATGTGCCTTAAAAGGATGGCATACCATATCAAAACCTGCAGCCAAACTCAAGACCCTGAAGCCCCGCCACAGTCCATGTCGCACAGGCCACAGGAATACTTCCAATGAGGACACCTGAAAAGCCCTTGATTTCCAGGCATCCCACACAACCTACATCCTGAAGCTGACCTGAAGGCAGAAATCCGTAGCGGAACATGTGTATAGTAGGCTGTGACATGCTGCACAAATACCTAGACCCTGCCTACGCGGATTCAATGCATACCTCGTGCTGTTCTCAAACTTGGGTGCCCACATTCATAATTGGATGGTTTGCTGTGAACATGTATGTATTCTTGTTACTTAGACTCACGCGCTTGAATAGTCCTTAGCATAGGGACCACATCCCCGAAGCTCCTGCAGACTATCATGCCTTGATAGAAGGGCCTCGAAGCTTGACAGGCCCTGAATCAAAGGAGACTACACAGATCTTCAACTGGAAACCCCCATCACCTAGAAAAGAAAGGCTTCTCTTCTTGGTAGAGTAGTGGGCAGTTCTCGAAGCAACCTACTGCGGACGATGGATGGATGACATCTTGCCCCATGTTATCTAGGGCCCTATACCCCAGGAATCACGCTATGATCGGGTTCCTGAGCGGTGGAAGATTTCCTTCATGCACTGCTATAGGATCCAATGAGGGGGAAAGAGACGTTGACAGCCAAGGAGCTCGCGCACTTGAAGCGAGGGCCAAGGATGGGTTGCATCTCGCAGTGGTCGCAGACGGCCCCTTCCTAAGGGTTGAGATCGCTTTTTTTTGGCAGCCTTTACTCGTTAACTTTCATGGCGAGATGAGCGCATGGAAAGGCGAGGAAAGATTGGGACTTGTTCACTCTAAAGTGTGTCGCACAGTTTTCACATTTAGTGCATATCAATTCGTGTCCGCTGGAACAATGAACTCTAAATCCTGAATCCTTGTCCCAACGCTCGAAGCTTCACGCTTCTGACCCAACTCCCAACCCACCGTTTAACGAGCCCAACATTTTGCAATCAACACTATGTCCCCGATCTGGCCCTGCAGTCAACCTTGAGAACTGCTTTGTATAGTTCCTCCATTCGCATCATTCGTGACCCCAGATCCCGCCAGGTATATAGTCCCCCTTAAGTAGATAGAACATGGGGTATATGGGAACCGTATTATAATATTCCAAAAGCCATATTCTATTTACTTAAGAGGGACTATATCCAATGGGGTTTAGGGTGTCAACTCCACTTCTGCTCCAGGCTCGTGTACTTCTGGGTCAGACTCCTCCGAGCTGGACTCCACGGGGGGCGGCGACTTTTCAGACTCCGGCGTCCTGGGTTGGGACTTCTCCTGATAAACCTTAAACCTCAAATAAACCCCAAGCCCCTAAACCCTAAACCCAAAACCCCTAAAACTCTAAACCCTGAAACCCTAAACCCCCCCCCCCAGCAAACAGTTATGCAGTGCAACCCAGAGGGTCCTCCAGCCATCGGGGTAGCCTCTGCATGCACCGCAGAAGTCGTGCCTACAGCCACCGGGTGCAGTTGTTGAGTCTTGCTGGTTCTTAGTAGGGAATAGGGGAGTATACTATATAGGGATTAAATAGGTATTACATACGGAATATTTCTTACTAGGGAATATGGGAATGTAGGGGTAGTATAGGGATGATGGAAAAGCACACGGAAAGTATTACATTGTAATAGGGTATATATTGTGGTCATAGTAGGGAACATGGGAATATGTTCTATACGGAATATATAGGGATTGTGGTTTTTTCAGAAACCTAAGATGGTGAAGGATATCCCTCCCGAACAGTACCAACTCCCATGCACCTACACCGATCACAATTCCATCGCCAGCGAGTTCGACTCAACGTCCTTGAGGACCGGCAGTCGTCAAAGTTGTCACAGAGCCAGTCCTTTCCACAGATCTGCAAAGCTCAGTGCGCAGCCATCTGCCCAAGGTCTAGGGTGGGAACTATATTCACCCAACCCTCGGCCTCTTGGTTTCCTCATTGCTACTGTCCTTCTGAACTCTGTTCCGAGCAAGTCATGAATCTACTTGCTCCCGCGCTCTCCTCATCCTTCTCTCTCTCTCTCTCTTTTGGCTCCTGCTCCTCTGCCCCTCCCTCCCCATTATAGCTACTTTGGTTCCAGCCACTGACATGGCATCTTCGGCCGGGCATGCCTAACATCCCTATGCTGTGCTTCTCATACTCTGCCGTAACGCCCAAATCTTTGCAAAATTCACACGCTGCATAATCTCAATGACCTCTAGAAGAGGAACTAAGCACTAGTTAACAAGCGATGACTTTTCCGATCTGTCCTCTGTATAGTCCCCCTCAGCGAGATCGCTCCACTGCATTTCCTGCCAGCAGGAAGGCCGGGCTTTGGTGCGCTGCAATCACTACCTATTTCTGGGCTGAAAACCCTACCTTAATCCCCACAAACAACCCACTTCTGGATCTAGGATTTCGAGCTCAAAACTTCGGAGACATCCTCCGGCTTGGAATCTGACTCGGCAAACATTGAGGCTGAGGCGGGGAAGCTGGAACAAGTTGTGACACCACCGCAAAAACGCTTTAAGAATTGGCTGCGGGACTTTGTCTCTTTAAAGGGACTCCTAATTAAGGAGCACTGCCTGAGCCAGAGCCGTCAAAGATGAAAGACGCTTTCCCTTTTCCCAAACTAGCGTTGAACTCCCTATCAGCTGCTTGTCTGATTATAGACTTGAAGGACATAAGTCCCTGTCGTGATCCTAGCGGCGTTTGGGGCTCATTTTTGCTTTCTGTAGCCGGTAGCTCGGGCAGATTTGAAAGCAACATCTTGGATATTCAGAATGAGCTCTCTGAAGTCTGAGAGTACCAGTAAGTACCCCGGGGGGGGGAACAGTTCGTGAACAGTTCGAGAACAGTTCCAGAATACAGTTCGTGATCAGTTTGAGAACAGTTCCGGAGTGGGGCATGAAAAGGAAGGGGAGGGCATCAAGTTCGAGTTCAGTTCGAGTTCACGTTCGCTCGAGTCCATTTTTTTGGGGAGGGGGGGGGGCTCCAGTTCATTTCGAGTTCGCGTTCGTGTCGCAGGTAACTGCACGGTTACTCAGCAAGTAAGGTAAGCCTGCATGACCCCAGGGGGGGAACAGTTCGAGAACAGTTCCAGAACACAGCTCGTGATCGGTTCGAGAACAGTCGAAGAGTAAGGCACGGAGAAAAAGGGGAGGGCAACGAGTTCGAGTTCCGTTCGAGTTCGCGGTCGCTCGAGTTCGAATTCAGTTTGAACTTCATTTTTTGCTAGGGGTTGAGTTCGAGTTTAGTTCGAGCTTCATTTTTTGCCAAGGGGGGGGTCGAGTTCAGTGCGAGTTCCAGTTCCGTTCGGAGTCCAAGGATTGCTTACTGCGGAGAGGGAGAGATTTGGAATTCAGCTGAATTCCAAGCTAGGTCGAATTCCAATTTGATTCGATGCCAGTTTAGGAACTAGAGTTCGACTGCAATTCGAGTTCGAGCTCAGTTCGAGTTCAGTTCGAAATTCAA